AAAACCTTGTCGAAACATTGTACATTTGCTGTTATATTAAAGTTTTTCTTCATTACCCATTCAAGCCGTCTCTAGCCATTATTTTCCTCCTTGTAGTTCCCCCCACTGTCCTTTAGTACCTGGGACCCATCCTATACTCAAGGCCTCTCTCCTTACCCTATTATGGGTTGGATCTGCCAGCTCGTACATCTTGTATATGCCTTTCTGAAGATAGATATTTGTATGTTCTCTCAAGTCTTCTTTCTTTAGTTTTTCTCCCGTGTTCTTTGGGCTGACATGTGGACTACCTCACATTAAACTATCTTCACCATCTGACTGTCTCATCTCCAGTAGTATACAGACTCTACCAGTGAACATTCTTCAGTTAACTCTGCACCAGTAATGTATTCATATACTTATTTTTTCCTCTCCTTTCTTCTACCTTTGGATCCCACTATGCAGCTAGTGTTGCCTGATTTACATCACAGGATATACTTGCACAAAATTTTGCATTGAGCCAGGAAAACAGAAAGTGCTGAGACCATCTGCACTGGCCCAATCAGACCACTGGCATTATACTTCACACTTATCCGTTGCACTGTCTCCATTAAAAGACCTATGCCACATTGATCTTCCAGCTGCTGGGATGGTTGGCCAAGGAGAATCCTCACCAATTGGGACCTAACAGCTGGTGCTAAAACAAGGGATCCTTCTACATTGAGAAGTGAGGTTGGGGTGTTTCTGGAGTGTAGTGCCATCAATACATCACAATTTTCAAATGAATTTCAGACACATAGCACACTAACTGTCTGTTTCTCCTTTATCTACTCCTGCAAGGACATGACCCCACCATATATAGTTGCAGAGTGATTGTTACTTGTTAATATCCAACTGTGATGTATAAGTTACTAACCCTACTCCCACAGCTGGTGAATGGCCCTTAGAATCTGATGGTTGGGTGGTGATTTCACAAGTATCCTTATCAGCTGTGTCCATTGCAGTGCCCTCCTGGGACTGGTGTAGGCCCTTGGTGTGTGACAATTGAGGAGCCGTGTATGAATACTTTTCAGGTGTGTTCTTTTTCCACAGGTGGTATTAACTCATAGAGACTGATGATTGAGGAGGTGAACACATATGATACATTCTGAATGTGCCCAAAACTTACTACACAAATATTGGCCATCTGATGGCTTGTGTGCAAACTACAGACTGTCATGTACCTATTGTGCCCATCCTTGCCACACCTTTTGGGCTTCTTGCCTCTCCCTATCCTTCAGTTGGAAGGAGAGTATATCTGAGAAGAGATGTGGTCTTCCATGGGTGTGCACTTATGGAGCCCCTGTCATAGGGTGTTGTACCCTATGGTCTTCCTTTTGGCACTTTTGAAAGGAGCCTCATCTAGATAGTTTCTGCACATAGTATGTATTTCTTATCTACAAAATTTTTAATTTTTATGAAGTTATACTTTGGAACATAATAAATCAAGTTAAGATCATGAGTAAAATTCAGTCTGAGGGGTTAATCACTTTTTTAGCTTGACTGGTCAAAGAACTTACCTAGTGTTTCATGGGATAGTTGCATTATGTTCTGCTTGACCTTGTATTTGGTGGATACCTTGTGGCTGTTTCATAGAGCATAGATATTTCAGTGCCCTTTTTCTGATTGGTCAGCTAAAGAGAGAATGTCTTGTATATGCAGTTTTGGCTCTTTTAGAGAAGATAAGCTTTAATACTAAAGAAGTCAAGGCATGCAGTGGAAGTTCTGTTTGACAACACTTTTCAGACTTCTGATTATGTATGTTTTGTACTATTAAGTTCCTTAATACGTTGGCTGCCATGTGCCCCATCGGTGGATCAAAACCAACGTTTAGTTATGGACTGCTTGATACATTAGTGGGTCACAGACAATTATGTTTCACAGACAGATTTCTCTTGTGGCATATGAGTTTGAGATACTGTGACTGCTCCTTGGCATCTTTTGAATATTTAATTTTATTTATACTTAATTTATTATGTGGCAGCCAACATGTTAAATACTATTTACTTCAAATTAAAGTATATACTTTTAACTCTGGACAACTTCTACAATACTCTTTCTATTAGATAATCAGTTCATTTTGTGGTTTTCTTTTTTATTTGTATTTATTTCTTTTGGCAAATAAATTGGTTTTGTTTTGACTTCAACATCATGTCTTGTCTCTTTTATTTCACCTGTCAAATATCACTGCACATTTTCTTTTGCATATTAGATCCATGAATCTCTTGTCTTTACATGCAAGTCTGATTTTGAATTATCATACTTCTACCGATGAAAAAGAAATAAGCCTGATACATAAATGTATTGAATTTCATAATAATTTTCTAAAAAATATTAATTAACGCTTTTCAACAGAAATACAAGTTTTCTGTAAAATTCCACATGAAAAATTCTACTGAAATAGTAACTGCTAATATCAGCTGCATAGTAGGAGCTATAGTTTTTTAGAAGAAAAAAGTAGTTAACTCTTGATACCATGAAATATTTTCAGAAATAAATTTAAAAATACGAATAAAAATAGGCAGACTGTAAAAATATGTATTTCTGAATATTTGAAAAGACCCTTACATTGCGAACAATAATGAATGCATCTATACAGATTCTCTTCTATACTTGTACTAATGGAATTATTGTACTCTTTTGGGTTTTGTAGGAAAGTTCTTTATAACTAACAGTTTCTTTTTACTGTTTATGTTTACACTTGAAAATGTATTGTTTAGAGATGAAAAGTTATGTGATACTATAGTAATAAATTAATTTTCAATTGTGTGTATCTGTTATGTCATTTACAATGTGTGTTGATATCTCATGTCACCTAAGACTGATGAAGATATTTCTTTATTTTTTACATAAAGTGGAAAGATTTGTGGAACGATACATTATGAGTGCTTCAAACAATGAACGTCTTATACAAACAGGGATTTTAACAGGTACTGTTTGTGTTCATTTTTAATGTTAGTCACTAAAGTTGCAGACATATAATTGCTTTTAAGACTAATATAGAAATATTTTGCCTAAAAGTACTTGTATTGTTATCATAATGCTCTTTAATTTGATAATAATTTAATCACATTTGTTTGAAGTAGTAAGAAATTATCTATGGAACTTTGTGATTATGTATATTACAACATATTATACTGTATTATTTATTTCTAGGTGGAAAACTCATGCTTTGCATACAAAACATATTTGTTTTATTTGTGGTATTTTGTATTTGAATGCACAAAGCTTATATAATGTAAATGCATTGCTGTGTATTTAAAGTAATTAAAAAAGTTAAGTGACCTTTCTAGACTATGTACTTATGAGGTTAGGTACATAGAGCTCTGAACAATTCTGATGGCAGTGTCGGGCATCTCAGTGACGGCAAGGTTAAACCTATTTCACAACACATTATACCAACCAAACACCTCTAATACAAAAGATACTTTGAGCCAAATGGTTTGATCAGAAATTACAAATCAATAGACTTTGCTACTAAGAGACACTAGATCTAGTGACACTTTCAAAATCTGGGTATTGGAGACAAGAATTAAAAATCAGCAGTGATGATACTGATACTCTAAGTGTCTCTAAACAAATGAAGAAATTCACACACAAAACCTTAACACATAAACACTGCTGTCTGTTTGAGATGGGGTTCTGAGGAATGACAGACCCATTTCTAAAATAACTTTCCTTTTGCAATGCACTGTACTTTCTACAACCACTTCTTACTTATGTACATGGTGACATTTTCTGTACTTCCCAACTCCTAATTTCATTTGTGCATAATTAAATGCATTTTATAAAGCTTCCTACACACACATGGGGATGTTATCTATACTTCTCTACTCCTAATTTCTTTCTGGCATAGTTAATGAAGTTTATAAGTTTCCCATGCATGCATACTTACTACTTTTTTAATTATATAGATTGCTATAAAGAACAAGTTAAAAGTCTGGGAAAATAACCTTAACACCTCTTTACTAGCACACCAGACAAAGTTAAGTTTAAAACACAAATTGTTAAAATAATTTGATTAAAACCAGTGATTTGATTAATTAGTATTTACCTCAGTAGCTACTGTGCATTGTGACTGATTAAGCAGGTATACAGTATTAATGTGATATTCTGTTGGCACAGGTGTACTGGTAATTATGTTTGTGTGATTTTTGTTTCCTAAGGTACATCATATCTTGTGAAAAATAACTTGAAATTTGTTATTGGGTTTGGTTATAACTTTACTATTTTTCCAATCTAGAATATGATGTGCTAAGCCTGAGGCATTAATTCAACATTTTTTAATGTGTATGTTTAATGTTTAGCCTGTTTCAACATAGAGAATCAACACTACAGTTAGTTTTAGGGTAAAGAAAATAAAAGGTAAAATATAAAGTTTTACTTAAAAAAGCATGACAAAAAAAGCTTTTGATATTCATTTAACAGGTTTTAGAGGTTATTCAAATGAAAAGAAGTATTTTTTATTCTTGTCATGAATATCACCTTTCCCTTGGACTAACTCAGTGAAGGTTTCAAAAATTCACAGACAAATCTTTAGTAGGAATACTTTATTAAAAAATCTGCTTTTTTGTATACAACAGATTTAATGTTTACTAAAAGCTTGCCAAATCTTGTGACAAAAACAAGTACATTCAGAGTTATAGTATGTAAAGTTTCCTGGTTACATCATGGTTACATGATCAATCATATTGCCAAACCTATATACAGAGAGTTAATAATATCTAGAAATCAAGTATATATCACCAAATATTAGATAAATCAAAAACAAGAAACTTTATAGGCTGAGTACTTTCAGAAGCAGATTTTCCTTTTTTGGGGGTGAATTTAGATTGATTAAGAAGTGTAAGGTGTGAAACTGAATTAAATGATATTCAGTGACACTATGGTTATCTACTTTCCGTGACACCACAGAAATGCTTAGGGTGGTTTTCATTGGTTATGTTGCAGGAGTGACTAATTTTAGTACACAAAAATGCAGAAATAGGGTAAAACAGGAACTATTAGAAACATGGTAATTGTTAAGAGGAGGGACATAATTAAGATAAATTATTCAAAAAAAACATTTCAAAAGTAATATGAAAACTAAAATACACTACAAATAGTGTAAGACAATGTGTGAAACAGGATTAGAAAGATACTGTATATTAGAATGAAGTATAAATAGATAAAAATGTGTTGTGATAAAAAATATGGATATAATTAATAGTAAACCCTCATAAAAAATTTAATGAAAATGAAATTAATAATACAAAAGTTAATATGTAGAAAAATATACTAGAAGTAAAAGGAAAACAAGTATTTCAAATGTACAGGTATGTGTAATGAATCAAATAAGATATTTTTATCTGACATAGAATTAAAGAATGAAAATCATTGGTTCTGGAATTAAGGTAAATCTCATAAAGAAGAAAAGTATTTAAGGTGGCAATCCAGTAGGCTTCTTTCTTTTCTCTGTGTTTTTTAATTTTAAGTCCAGTTTTGATGATACGAGAGTAAAATTATTGACATAATTTTTAGACTATTTGGTTGGGTTTTTTTGCATGTTGAATTAAGTTTTATGATTGTTGAAATATGGATTTGTCTATTACACTGATGACTGTATTTTTTAGACCAAAAAATGACACAAGCAAGTAAAACAGCTGTTAAGAATCATGAATAATGGGAATATGGGGAAATCATTATAAAAACTACCATGAAAATAATTTTAAATTATGGCTAAAAAAACATGTAATCTTAGAAAAAGAAAATAAGTTCCAAAGTGAAAAAATTTTCCATTCTCTTGACACAGCTATCAGTCTTACAGAAAATTCATTCAACAGAATTGATGTACTCGCATTCAATAAATTTTAATCAAAGTAAACTATCAAATAATACAGAAATACTAATTATAACAAACATTTAGATGAAATCTAAAATTATAACTTTATAAACATGTTGAAATGATAAAAGATAGAAACTGAGTCAATGAATGAGTGTAAATGAGAAGGTAAGTGTAAAGAGAGATGCTACTCTTGAGTTATGTAAATATTTTTTGACAGTGCCTGGACGTATTAGTTAAACCTATTGTTTATGCGTGTTTTTATATAAGTGTTATTTCTCACATGATGTTTGCAATTAGAATGAATGGTATATGGATGTGAAAGGTTACAGTAAATGTAGTTTGATGTTTTATTAACTTGTATTGGAAGTTGAAAAATTACTTTAATGGACCATGGCTTTTTGTCACTTTGTTTTCTTTAATGTTTAAGTTTAATAGAGCCTTAGTTATTATGAGTGTGCTACTGTGATTGAAGCTGTTTGGATTGATAACTTTTATATTATTTTATATTTTTAGTGAGTGATAGATGTTTCAAAGGACAAGCTGTTGATAAAAGTGGTCACAATTTACAAGCTATGGTTCCCAACTTGTAAGTTCATAATGTATTTTCTCAGATACTTTTGAAAATTGTTTGGAAAAAATATAAATCTCTTCTGGGTTTCCAAAAAAACTTAAAATATTTCCTTAATTATGTTTATTTCCGATACAATCCACTTACCTTTCTGTGAACTGTGCTAGTACATGAGGTAATCATCATGTGGCAATAGACCTCCACCAAAAGGAATGCGACTCATCTTCCATGTACAGTAGCTCCCCATTAGCACTTGAAACTAACTTCATTCTTAAATTTAGCACTGGCATAATCAGACGTTTCATTTTTCTTTTCAATTTTGAAAGATTTTGCATAATCTTTGTGAATGATTTGATTAAGTAATTTTATTATCATAGTTTTTGTCTTTCTCTTATGAGTTTTGTGAGATTTATAATTCCATTTCTCACTTTTGTTTCTTTCTTAACAGTGGTACACTTCAGGCTGTGTTAGGAGTACCTTACATGTTGTTTTTCAACCCTGCTAGCTCATGTTTCTCCAGCTTCACCCTCCTGAAATTCTAGCTCATTTCACAAAGCCCAAATTTCATCTGGAATGATACTAGTTACTATCCTCTACTATGGTTGTTTGCAGAGCTTGTTAAACCCTACAACATAATGTTTCAAACCTCCTCACATCTTCTACCATGTTTGTGGTGGCTGGAGGTTCTTTGTCTGTGGAAGATGCTTCCTAGTTCTGTTATCTATTGCGTATTTTCTGTTTGTGATCTTGATTACGAGGTTGATGTTTTTATCCAGCTTTTACTCTGTCCTTGTTGTTTGCCGTTGAGGAACAAGTTATTTCTTTCTCTCTCTCTACTGATTATTTCAGGTTTGTACTATGCTTTTCCATTCTTCTGTGTTGTATGTTTCTTCATGTTCTTTTTTCCATGCTTTCATGTTGTAGTTTTATTCTTTCCCTGTCCCTGAGATTAGTATCCATGCTGAGATCTTCTTGTCTCAGCATCATTCTCATTCTTCCATGCTTCATCATCCTTGTGTCTATGATTCCTTTAATATGGCTTATGTTCACTTCCCTTCTGCCTTCTTGGATTCTCAAACCCTGTAATTCCTTCTGCTTGCTTGAGTAATGATCCTCTGTCTCCATTATACCTTACCAGGGCTCACTTCTTCAATCTTTGCTTTCACCTTGTTCTATCCCTTCGTTTTTTCCTTTTTCTCATACCTGAGGCCAATGTCTCATCATTAGCTCTTTTCCTCTTCACATAAATTCTGTGTAGTTGAGTCCTATTTAGATATGACCCCCTTTTCTCTGTCATTCACCTTCTTCAGTCCTGTGTATGTGGTTTTTGTCTTACTCCACTCATTTGCCATGAGGTCTTTGGGGTGTTCCTCTCACCTTGGAGCCTTGAGCAAAAACTGCTTGCCATAATTTTTCTCTCATTTCTTTACTGTTCTGTCTTTCCCATTCCCATGCATTCCATCATGTTCCTTGGCTTGTGTACCTGTTAGATATGACTGTTTCATTTCAATTGAATACAAAATTACACAATTTAGATAGTAATAAAGTATGAGTGTTAAAGTAAATAAGTTAGTGAAAGTAAAAGTGAAGTTAAACTGCATGATTGTGAGTTTAGCCATAAAGAGCATTAAATGGCAATTTCTAAAGTGAAAGTCTCACAGCTTGTATTGTAATAACAGTGATAGAGAAGAATAATTTGTCTTGTCAAAGGGTGTTTTAAAGTAATTGAACCCACTTGTGTTGAATTTGATGAAAAGGAGACAATTATTTAAAGCTCTGTGATAACCAATAGTGTGACAAATTTTTGTACCTACATTTGACTTGTTTTGAATATATTATTTTCAAACCAGTGGATTTTGTGCTGTCCATTTATTGTTGAAATTTATTGTCAACAAGTCACAGACACGTACTGTAAAGAATCTGACCTTATAAAACCTGAAAGTACCCTTGTCTTCTCTTGCATTTTCTCTTCCTACTTCTTTGCCTCTTCTCACCTCTGTTTGTACCTGGCTGGCTTGGGTCATATAGGGACACTTCTTTTCTTCTTAGCTAATCTGTGGACTCAGTTTGCAACCAACCAATGGGTCATTCAGGTTCTTACCCACTCTCTCTTTCTTTTCTTTCTCCTCTTCCCATTTCCCCATTGTTTTTCCTTCACCTTCCAATATTCAGTACCTGTTCTATGTCAGTGACACTTGGCCCTCTTTGGGTTACTATTCCAGTCTCTTCATTATCTTCTTGAATCGTGGGTACTGACATCCCCTCATTCGTACTTCTCTGAATCACTTCTGATTATTCCCCAGTTTTAGATGAAGGTGTTTCTTCCTCATAATAGGTTGTTTTCCTCTGGCTTTTGGAATGAAAATGTTCCATGTTTTGGATGCTTTTTTTCCAATAGTCCTGTCATCTCAACATTTCCTTCGGTTTGTTTAATACAGTACTATATACTGGTATTGGACTCTACCCTTTGGCATGGCTTCTGCCCTTTGTGTCTTCAGCCAGGTCATGAGGGCTTTTGCTTGCCACATTCCTAATCTTGGCCCTTGTTTCCATTTCTTTCTAGACATATGGCTAGTTTTCACTTCTACTTGGTACTCTTCTTCTACAGCTACATCCCTTCTCCTCCAAGAGGCTGTTCATGTGGGATGACTGGTCTTATTTTCTTGGCTGTATCTGATTCCAACTCTATATTTGATCCACCTTAGAGTCCTTTTCTATTCGCACCTCATCCAGACTTATCCTTCTTTATTTTGTCTGTGAATGTCTAGTCACCCCAGCTCTTATGCTCTCCAATCCAAGAACTGGCTGCTCTGGCTGTGGACATCTTCAGCTTGTATTGGATTATTTTCTTTATGTGCTTCCTGCTATCTGCCTTTTTTCATATGTCTTGGTGATGATCTGCAACTCTCATTGCTGAACCCTGTTGGTATCATCTTAATGCTAGTTCTATCTTGGTTTCCTCTCCTCCATTTACCGACAGTTTAAGCACCTTATCTTCTTCTATCATCAGATTTTCTTTTGCTTCAACCTTCTACATTACTCTTTCATCTGGGTGTAGTCCCTTCATCTTCATGTATGGAATTATCTGTTCCTTTCACAACTGGATATTTCTCATATTGTGTTGCCCTTCTTTGTATCACTCGATTCATCCTTTCACTCTCTTTGTTCCATGATGCAAGTGGAATTTTTTTCACCACTGGTCCATCAGGCACTTTCTGCCTCTGGGCTGTCCTTCTGTTGCCCATCATTCCTTTTTCTTTTACTAGATTGTTTCACCAGAGATTGTTGGTCTTCACCATTGCAGGTTATCATGTGGCCTTGTCAGCCACCTTTTGCCTTTCTCACATAGTTCTGTATTTTCTTCCTCTATCCTTCTACGTTATTCTGGCCCTTCCTCCTCCTTTTTCCTCATCTGGGTCATTTGCCTGATTTGGACCTTTTTATGATTCATTATACTTTCACCGAGATCCTACCTGAACCTTTGGCCAGTTGTTCCTTCTCTCACCATTCAATGAAGGCTTCTTTCCTTCTCTTTTTGGCTTGAGGTCATTGCTGTTCTTATATTTATGCCTTATATGCCTCCCACCCTCTGTTCCACTGATTTTACTCTGTTTTGTTCCCTTACCACACTTTCCTTCTCTACATGTGGGCAGACTGTTAGGTCATTTTATCCCATTTCTCTTCTGTTGTTTTCTGCCCACAATGATGATTGTGACCCTGATGCCCTGTTTGGGTGAAATGATATTGCTTGATATGCACAGCTCACTTTCAGGATACCCACAATCACTAATACTTTCTGTGTGACCCTTCTTTATCCATGGATCTTTAGTCCACTACTATTACCAGTTGGCTTCAGCATTTTATCTGGGTCATTTGTTCTTCCCTAGGGGATGACACTAGCAGAATCTATCTCATCAGATTTGTCCCTTGACTCGCTCTTTCAGCAACCACTGAATGAGATCTTACAGACAGGGAAGTGGACAATGCCCAACACACCTTCTTTATCATCTAGCTGTTTCATCTTCATCTATATTTCTTCTCCCTCCAGTTGCCATTTTTGAGTCCAACCCAATGGTCAGTGCTGCCTCACAGAGACAATGGAAAGTTTTGAGCCCATCTGCTCTGGTTCCTAAGTACCCTCTGTTAAGATCGAGTTTCTCACAAGGTCATTATAGTGTGTGTATCTATATATAATTTTCATGGATTATTATGAAAAAACTAGCACTGCATTCCTGGCTTGGGCATGCTAGCTTTTCAAAATAGGTTTCATAGTAAGCCATTGTACTTTTTCCACTAAAAGTCCTTTGTGGTGGTTAATTCTGATAAAGTCCAGGCACATCTCAAAAATCTATTCAATGCAAACTCACCCCCTGACCTTTCAGTGGAGCACAAGACACCCTTGCTATTTCCATTTCCTAGCTGCTGGAGTGGTTGATTTGGAGAGATTCTTACTGGTTGTGCAATCTTTCTGGAGAGAGAGTCCAGGTGGGCAGCACAATGCAATAGGAAGTAGGGCAGGAATGTCCATGTCAGTGTAGTTCAGGTGACCCCCTACTATACTATGCCAATTTCCCAATGGTATTGACCAACTGTATGAAGCAAAGTGTACTCCTCAGGAATCAGGAAGGGACCTTTGTCCCTGTATGTATGTTTAATAAATTGTACAACAGAACACATACCAAACCATAAGGTCTGATTATTGCCCTAGCCACACTACACCTTATCTCCATCTGACCTGTTGTGTGCAAAAGCCCAGTTGGTAATGTATTTTTTAAATCCATCCCTGCGACACATTGTCTCATTTATGGATTTCTCTTCTACTTTCATACTTCCATCCAGGCAAAGAGTATGCCCTCCCTGAGAAGAATTGTGTCCCCTCAAGTAAGCCCCTGCTATTGAGTGTCACATGCTATGGGCTTTCCTCTTTTAATGTCTTCTCTGAAGAGACCTGATTTTTTGGTTTAGCCCCTCCATCACATCAATGTGGGACTCTAGCTACTCTTTGCAGAGGTAAGTGGATCATTCTGGAAGTTTACATTTTCCTTACCTGAAGGTGTATTACTGATAGATACTTGCCTCTCTACATACCTTCTCACCCTTCCTCATCACTATCGATGCACATTGTTCTTGCATTGTCTAAGAATGAAGTTAATTTTGAATGCAAGTTCTTATGGAAATATACTCTGCATGGATGATGTGTCACCCTCCTATTGGTGGAGGACTATTTCTGCATGATGATTACATCTTGTACTAGCATAGTTCATGTCAAAATGTGATTTAGGTGGAAGATAGTTCAAGGCTAGTGGCATGCACAAAATCTCAATGGCAGGCATGTGAGAAATAGCTAATGTGTGCAGAGATTAACTTTAATTACACCATTTTCTAAAGAGATGAATAAAACTTAAAAGTATTATAATAACAAACTAGTTACCTTCATATACTGTAATATTTATAAGTTTTCAAATGTAAATATAAAATAGGTAAGTAGGGGATTCAGCATACAAAACAGTAGATTGTTCAAAACAAAGATATTTTTAAATTTTGAGATACATATGTATTTTTTAGATAAATTTTCTTTATCTTTTAAGAGGAGTTTCACATTTGAATCAATATGTTTATTGTCAGCTGTAAGTTGAGTCATTTTATAATTACAAAACTTTGTACTTTTGTAACAAAGAAATTATGAAAAGAGGGTGTTATTTTCAAAGCACAAACATTGAGTTGTGATAGAAATTTATCACAAGTAATTTTATGGTGGTGAAAACAGGAGGGGAACATTAAATGGTAAGAGTTCTGTCGGTTGAATGTCTCAATCGATATTGTTCAAGATTCTGTTCATCATAAAATATTTCAAAGATATTAAAATAAAAATAATAGTAGTAAAATAATATTTTTTTATTGATGCAAAGCTTATTGGGTAAACTGATATTTTAGTGAAAGTGATTTTGATTCTGAAGGATCTCCAAAAGGCTTTGAGTAGTGAATAAGTAAAAATTTTATATGAGGAGTAAGAAATATAATGTTAGACATTTAAAGTATGAAAACTTTAAAGAACCTATGTAATATTTATGAATAAGTGAAAATTTCAAAGAATGAGTTTCAGACAAATGACAGTTGTATAAGACAATATGCTTTGTCTGTTGTGTGAGAATCTTGGTACTACAGAGACAAAGAGAGATAGATAGAAAGAGCTCCTGGGCCAGATATATTTCCCTAAGGAGGTTAAGGATTGGATATGTGACCTACTTGCTGCTAGTTCTTGTTAGTCCTTGAATAGTGGGCAAGTGTCAGAGGATTGGCAGGGTAGGTGATAAAATTGTCTCAGTAATTATATGCCTATTAGCTTTACATCACTGGTGGAAAAAGTTTTTGAATGTCTGATAAAAGATGCTTTGCATATAATCTTTTAACAAAGTTTAGAATTTTGTTGATTTCACAAGGGTAAAACCTTGACTTACTAATTTTTTTACATTTTTTGAAGAGGTTACTGCTTACCATAGATAGGGTGAGGTGTGGATTTGGTGTATTTGAATTTTCAAAAAGCATCGGAAAAGGTACCTCATAAAAATAAAATTATCTATATAAGTTTGAGGGATAAGTTGGCTAATTGGATAGGAAAGACGCTGCATGGAAGGAAGCATAAGGTTGTTATAAATAGAGTTCAGTCAAACTGGATTAATGTCACAAGTGGGTTAGTGTTAGGACTTTTTTTTTTTTTGTTTACATCAGTGACATAAACAGATGAAAGAATGGCCAATAAATTAATTTTGTTGATATTAAAGTCATGGGTTTTGCTGGATGTGAGAAAGAAACTGCTTCATTTTAAAATAATTTAAATCATTTGGTGATTTAGGTGAATAAATGGCAGATGGTTTTTTAATTGTAGTAAATGCAAGGTAATGCATGAGTATTATCATAGTTTTAATTATATGTATACTTTTGATGGGAATAGCTTCAACAGTGTTATTGGAGGAAAGGGTCTTGGTGTTCTGATTAATCAGACTGTTAAGCTATTGAAACAATGTGCTGTTGCTAGTATTAGGGTAAATAGGATTTTATGTTGTATCTACAGAAATATTAAATGCAAGTCTAAATAGGTTATAATTTCTTTGTATAGGTCACAGGCTAGGCTAAGTTTGGAATGTTTTATTCATTCTTGGGCATTTTACCTTAGGAAGGACAATGAATTGTTGGAAAGGGTTTAGAGGATAATGCCTGAGATGTTAAGGTTGTCATATGACAACAGGTTAAGAATTCTTAAATTGTTTTCTTATGAAAATGGAAGTGTTAGAGGGTATCTGATTGAGGGGTTTTAGATTGTTAAGGGAATTGATAGTTTTAATGCATTGTATTTTTTTCTACTTAACAGTGAGAATTTTTAACACTTTTGTTAACTTCTTTTCATTCCTATTCATCAGTTTTTGATGTTACATCTATGATTTCATCTAGAAGATCTTACCACTTTGATTCACACTGTGGGTTTAAATTTCCACATTATAGACAGCTAGCTAATTTTGGCACATTTGTATCCCTCTATCACCCAAACAGTTCTTCACAAAGTTCTCTGTGTGTTCAGGTATTTTGGTGGGTTTTCAGTTGCGCAGTTGTCCCATGATCGTTACTCTTACAAACTTTCTCAAGCATAAGCTTTCCTTCTGCTTTTTGATAGTGGACTCTTTGAGGTGCATGCATTAAATCAGTTTTGTTCTCATTCCTTATGCTTACCATTCCTTACATATTTTATCAAAGATTCTTGTCTGTATCAGGAACATATAATGTAATTTTTTTTTTTGATAGACTCTGATTTTTTTTACCCGTTCATCTTTGGTTTTCTGTTGTGCTCCATCTTATTTTGTAGAAGCTATTTTTTTTCATGTTCTTGGAGCATATTTATTTATTCATCAGTTTATTCATCATTAAATGTTTCATTAAGACATTGGTATTCTTTGCCTTTATGACTGAATGGCTATTATGAGGTCTCTTGTTTGAAATTTGAAGTTCTCATTTGTGGTTATAAAGCCTTTAGCTTGTTTTTTCCAGTTGTTTACCTTCTTAGTGTACCAGTCTTAATGATTGATACTTCAGAACAGATCCAGACATTTTTTTTGTACCTCTCACCTCTTTTTTTTTTATCTTTTTGTCCTATTTTTAAGTATTTAAATGTAGGTTGTTGTTTTTTTTTGTCTTTCATGCTTGCTCATTGTTTGGCTACTGTCATAGCTTTATACTATTTCTTATTTAATTCTTCTCAATTTAGTTATGTGGTTCTGGCATGCTATTCTTTTTTTTTTTAAATGCATTCTTCTTGTCTAACTACTCTGTATTATTGAAGACTTATTTTTCATGAAGACCCTTTACCTACTTGGAACCTTTAGCCTCTTGTTTCTTTTAAGATATATTTTCCTGCTGTTGCAATCAAGTGAATATCATTTTGAGTGTGCCATTCATTTCTCTTGGCCTGGCATAGCCTGGCATGGTCAGGTGGTTAAGGCACTCGACTCGCAATCAGAGGGTCGCGGGTTTGAATCCCTGTCCCACCAAACACGCTTGCTCTTTCAGCTGTGGGGGCATTATAATGTGGTGGTCAATCCCACTATTCATTGGTAAAAGAGTAGCCCATGAGTTGGTGGTGGGTGGTGATGACTAGTTGCCTTCCCTCTAGTCTGACACTGCTAAATTAGGGACAGCTAGTGCAGATAGCCCTTGTGTAGCTTTGCATGAAATTAAAACAAACAAACAAAGGTAATTATATCAATTAAATTCCCCATATCTACAAATGAGGCATATTACAAGAATAGAAAGGTCAGGATACCACACATCTCTGAACAATAGACTAGCTTGCTAGTGATATTATGAAAAACACCTTACAAAATCATTTAGCAAGTTTTTCAGGTGAGAAAATAAACATGTAGTTTGACTAAGCTTCTGACTTTAGATGAAGTTCCCTGAGGTCAAAATTAGCATTGCTCAAGGCTAGCACATCCTGTTAAACTAGAACATGTTTCTAAAAATCTATGTTGTACATGTAGTCAAATACTAAAACAAAAAAGACTCTAAATTATGTGTTTAGTTTATGGGATCTTCGTATCACATATTGTTGTGTGTTAATAGCATGGATCATTATAATATTGTATTGAATAGGTATAATATTTAGGATGTAAAAGATTGCATTTATGTAGGATGTTATTGAATTTTGTTAGTAGGGGGGTAAGCAATATTCATAATGGGCCAAGTGGCTTTCTATCACTTTTCTATCTCTTATAATCTAATTTGTGTAGTAAGAGTTTCTCAAAAATGGTGTCTAAAATTTATAAACATGCTGCAAATAATTTACAAGTGCTCCAGAAGTTAAAACAGTATTATGTGGAATTTAGTTATCACTTTCTTTCTAACAAGTAAAAAAAAGAATAATAGTTACATGTGTATACTAAAATGCTATTTGTTACAATGCATTCGATCTTTTGAGTTAGTCTGTATCTTTTTTTTTAATAAAATAGAATTAAACTCTGGTGATTGAAATTTTCAGTACATGATACTTGTCTACATCATTACTGGGAATACCATGCATTGAAGTTAGAATTACAAATTTATTGTTGGAATCATGTTTTCTGTAGATTTATTTTTAATATTATGTTCATTTTTCCTGTCTTTGCAGTTCTTTTATTGAATGTCAGTTCATCATGTTCGTTTATATAAGAAGTTGCTTTTTCTTTATAGAGATCAAAGAATTTTAACTACAGTGAGATTTTAACATAACATACTTTGTTAGTAATTTTTTCAGGAGTCTAATTGTCAACCTTTTTATATCTCTCCAGATTTAAAGCGGAGATTACAGCTACACAATGCGTACCGGATGATATTAACAAAATACAGGTAAAGATGTAAAAACTGAATAACACAGCTTACTTTCATTAATATGAACAAAATTAGGTTGTGTTGATGAAATTTTCAAATTCTTAATTTAAAGGAAAGAACACTTTCATCATTTCATCTCATTAAAGCAGGAAATATGCAGGTAAACACCATTCTACATTATCTGAGTGAAGAATTAAATTTTATAGTGGTTGACTGATCTAAATTTTCTGATACCAGTACGTAATAACTAATATGATGTGATCAAAAGTAATAAATCTAGAAATTTTAATGAACCTAGCAGACAGTGTCATCTTTCAAGAAATACCATTAATGATTCTACATAAGTTGTGAAGTAAAAAGGATATTTTAGTTGTAGATTTTAAATAATATATATATATATATATATATCATGAATATCTTAGACTCAGATAATTGAATGAAAGAAGTGTGTTCTCTGTCACCTCTAAAGACTTTCCAATTTAGAATGTCATCACTGTTGACAAGTGTATTGGTGTTTAAGTTACTGATTGGAAACCTGGGATTATATAAATTTAGATGTGCATTTATGTAGTCATCAACTGTTTTGCAGTTGTTTTGGATAAAGCTTGAGGAATTTAGGTCCTGAAAAGATTCCTGACAATAATCCACTAAAAGATTCATCTTCTTGGAGTCTGTTTTAATAGTAATGTTGTTGTGTTTAATGTGATGGAACATGTTATTATTGTTTTTATCAGAAGTTTCTGATTTGAATTTTTTCCAAATGTTTTAAGATTCTCATGAGAATTATAAAGGCTATTGCAAAATTCTAACCAGTTAATCTCTTTAAGTAATTTTATGTTTCATTTTATTTGTGCATGTATTTTATTAATTTTAGGTTTTAGGGAAAGATCCCATGTGGTTATCAGTAATTGCCTAAGGCATCTACATTCTAGAATAAGTGAGTGTATTTCTGGCATGAGTTTCCACTGATTGCTGTTGTGGCCTCTGGAGGATGTGGATATTACTTTTCTGTAGCTTTTGTTATGGATAGTGTAAGTTAGTCTTATTTACTATTATGGAGTGTGTGTATATATATATACATATATTTTGTTAAACAAGACCGATGTCTGT